GTCGCTGATAGCATTACCTACGACATTTTGACTGACGGAGTATCAGCGACGGATCAACGACGGAAATCACTTTCAGCGACGGATCAGCGAGGGAATTTTCCCTCGTTGATACCCAGCATTTTTGTAGTGTATGATCTTACGGGTCTCATGAAAAACCATTGACCTCACATGATCCCAAGTCTAAGATTAATAATTATATAGAGCGTTATCCATTTATTTGTATAAAAATAGAAAATAATGATATTAATATGTTATTCGATTTAACCAAAGTAGTTAAATCTAAAAACAAAAACAAATAACATAAATCTTATTTAGTTAGCCAAACCGTTTAACTCAAAAACCATAAAACACCCGATTTGACTCCGATGAATTATATGGTTTCGGTTTCCTCCCCGCCATCTGAAAACAACTTTATTATTTATTTCTATATCATGATCAATATATCATCAGACAGAATTGAAATACTATTTACCTTATCAGGGTAAGTTTATAGTCTACCAAAAAGGCGTCATATTTCATATGCAACAATTTATCCAGTAATCATTAACCAGTTAAGAGTCGTCACCTTCAATTACTGGATAAAACATTCGGTCCTTACTATATTCATCCGATAAGATAATATGACCGGATAATTACTTATACAGATAAGCATTTGATAAACTTGTCCTAAATTATTAGTTGATTTTATGGTGGGCTTCACATATCCCAAAAAGGAGAGTAAGAAATCTTGATCTAAACCTTGAGTCAAAGAGAAGAACATGCAAATGAAAATGATGATGCTTAGGAGAATGGACCCTAAAATTCAGAGAGATGAGTAGTATATGATGAACCAACATCCTTAAATTTCCAAAAATAGCAATAGAAACCATGTGACATCAATTACTTCAAAAGAGGTCCCCTCTTTTGTTGCAATATGATTGAAGCAAGCAGTATTTGCTTAAATATATTAAACAGTAATTAATGAGAATATAAATAAAAGAAATTGGTTGATTAAAAATAGTATTAGTTGTGTATCTGTGTAATTCAATGGGAGTCGTGAATTTTAACGATTTTGAAATTTTACTGGTTTTATTGGAGAAGATTTAACGATGATATAAGTTACACTTGGTTTTTACATATTAATACAATTTGGATAAATAAAAGTTATGGTTCCAATTAGAGCCTATCGATGAAAAGAATTATATGATAGTTTAAAATCCAATATATTTAAAATCTAACATATTTAAACGACTCCACAAATGTGTTCGATTTATACCAAGAGCGAAACCGAGAGTTCTAGAGCAACTGAATGAGAGATGAATGAGAGAACTTTTAATAACTCATGGTGAATATCAGTTTGAATCTCACATTAGGGGATGAGAAAAGACATAGAGGTATGAGAGAGTGAAGATATGAGTGAAATGTGTCAAAAATATAGTGGGAACATGAAAAGAAAAAGGTAATAACGTGCGTTGGTAACTTGCACTATATGTTATTATAATTGTAGATTAAGAGATTTTAAGACTAAATATATAAAGTAGTAATACTTAATACATTATGAGTTGTTTTTAAGACTTTGTGCATAAATATATAGTACATTTTACATTAAAAAATGTTTTTAAGACTTTTGATAAATCTGGTTTATAAGGTAATATAGATAATATATATGTTTATTCTCACAGAAACCTGAATTTTCATTTCAAGTTGAATTAGGGGGATGAAAATTCTTTCTCATTTTCAGTTCCGTCATTTTCATTTTCATTCCTCTACCTGAACCAAACATTCTTAAGATCCTTAAGCTTCCAAAAGTGAGCAACAGAAACCATGTGACATCGATTACTTCAAAAGAGGGGACCTCCCTAATAGTATTTCTGTCGTTGCAATCATCAAATTAACGCAAAACAACATTCAAGAATTACCAGTATTATTATTCTCTTAAATTATTATTTTGTATATTACTTAAATCCCACATGTACGATTTCTTTGTTTTTCACTCAAAACTTTATTTTCCCTCTTAGACATTTCATTAAACAATCGGTAGTCATCATCAGATTCACAAAGTAGAGCAAGCAAAAACTGTATTTGAGATTCAGACACCAACTCCTGCTCTGCGTGTAAAGTAAGACAAATTAGTCTGGTGATATATCATCACGTACTCGGTTTTGACTCCATGTATAAACGCCTTCAAGAGATGAAAAATGTAAATAGAATTACACCCGTGATAAAGATCAAAACGCAATCTACCACAATATCTACAAAAAGAAAGTAAATGGAAAGCTACGAGATGGAAGGCATCCATACGTAACGTACATGTTGTGAATGGAAAACCGAGAGATGGAAGCTTGGTGATGAAAATCTGTAACGAGAGAAGCAAGAAGCTTGGTGATGGTAAGTTATTCACTTTACTTTATATCCATTTCTTTTTTATTTTTTATTTTATACCTTTATCATATTATCATATATAATCGTATATTAACTAAAATATGCTAAAAAAATACGTTTTACTTTTTACAAATTATATAATTATAATCGTCTCATCAATACCTTCAAAATGAAATACTTTTTGATTTAATCATATTATTAAATAACATAATATGAAGTGAATTGTTTTTAAAACTTGTATTTTATACCTTATAGTTATCGTATTTAATTTAATTTTATATTTCTTATATTTTTATTTCTATTTTACACCCTTAATTTATAAATTCAAAAGTGT